GAGGCGAACTCAGTGTCCGAATTTAAGAAGCTCCTAGACAAACACTTTGCAGAGGCAAAATATAGAGAGCGGAACGATAAATAAGGAGTATATGTCCAAGAGCGAGGAACGATGCAGCTACACAAATAATGCTCTACTCGCTGCTTCGAACCAGTATTCAGTATTTACTGCATTATAACGGCACGTTATACTATTTTTGTGTTCACATCCCATTTCCACTTCAAACTATCGTTATGCAGTAGTGCATTTAAATTGGTGAACGCTTGAAATAACGAGTTACTTTTCGATGATCCTTCAAATGTTTTGTTTTACTCCAACCATCCTACGGGACTTGTCAACCACATGCTTTTTTACCCGTGATAAAGCATAGTTCATTGAAATATAGACGGAGTTCAGTCGACCAACGGTGGCTATTGTTGAATACACCTCACAATCGGCCTGTGGTTGCATCATTCACGCCTCCGGGTGTGCACAAACCAATGTGGGCAAAGAAGTTAGGCTGGGTAACATTGAGGACTATGAGTGCATCTTCATCACACGTGGTGTAGCACCCAAAAAGAGAACTGCTATCTTTCACGTACAATTTAATTGTCGATCGAGTATACATTATTCCTTCTTGTTTTAATCTTCCTTACAACCGGCTCGACACTCGACCGCCTTGTAAGTTCCCGCGCTCACGTGTTCGCTCTTGTCTCGCTTCATCCGTCCACATCTTCTTGTAGCCCATCGAATACAGTCCGCTGTGTCCGACTCCATTTGCCTTCTGATATCCGCGCTTAATTTCGCGCACCGTCTCGGACTAGTATTAACTAGTCCTACAATGGTCAGAAATAGCGTGAGCACAAATGCGATCTGTTATCCGTTTTACTCCAAGCAATTTGAATAGAATACACTCCACACTGAGTGCGAGAAACAAAGAGTAGGCCGCAAAAATAATGCGGTACCGCGGCCACCCCAGTACTGGTGGCCTGGTAGTGTCAAAGTTGTCCTCCGGGAATGAAAAACGACGACTAGGCAGTGATCCAAAAAATCAGTTATTAAGAAACAATGGGACATTTTATACCAAACTTAATTTGAATCTCTGTTTCTCTGAAACGCACTTCCAATGGTTCGTTCTTGCTAGCAATATACCTGAGATTATTGGCTCACTCCCACTTTTCATTTGCACCAGTTTGAGCCACTCCTCTCTTGACTGGAACAAACTTACTATGTGTACCACACCCCAGAGCAATTCCGACTGTTCATTCCGTCCTTGTGAATGGGATCAAGTTGTGTACGCGGCTCTGGTTGGTTTTCTATCCGCCGACACCGTCTGTTCCGTTCACTCCGTTGATTAGCCGTCACACACCATGCGCCGTCGGCTCAGGGTCAGTGTCGCGGGAAGTAAAAGCCTGTTTAATGTACTCATGAGTAGGGGATTTGTTTGATGTAATTAAGTGAGGCTCTTCGCAGCCAGTTTCCAAATCAGATAGTCGTCCACATGCCCATGTTGTACATAGCTACTGTTCGTGGACGTCGTGTCTTTCGGGGCCAACCCTGTCCTCCGCAACGTTCGTAACTTGCATGGCAGTGGAGGATAAGACGCGCTATGTCTCAGTTAGCTTGTAAATCATGACGGTCCGAAGCTGGCCCCGTGGCCCCGTGGCAAAAGCTGCTGACTGGCGGTTCAAGCAGCTGGTGGTCAAGGGTACGAATCCTGATGGATCCGATGGATGCGCACTACTGACGATGCCCAACAGGCTGAAACTGCAGTCTAGTGCTTTTCCGGGCATGTGGACGACTATCCGATTTGGAAACTGGCTGCGATGGACCTCACTTAAAAGATTGTTTAACTCGCAACACTCCAACTCGATTCCACATTGTTCATCTGGTCCGTGTAAGTATGGTCAACTTGCTTTCGAGGCACTAATTGGCTTTCCAGCCCATTGCCCGCGTGTCGATTTCGCTCGCTTAACCAGACAGCTACCAGTACAGATGGAATGCACGCAAACGGGTGAAAAAGAAGAAAGTACCTCGCCAGAACTTGCGAGTTTTCTCCTAGTGCGCGCTAATGCGCATAGCAGATAAGCTGACCATTTTGAAGGATGATGATGCAGAATGATTTCAATTGTGGCTGAGACGATGCCAAACCCAGAGGAATGAAATAACAATGTTTTCAGGTTAAGCACTTTGTTCAACATCCTGACCATGGGGGCAGCAAGAAAGTGAGAACCATGCACTTTTGAGCTATTTTCTCGATGAATGTATGTTGTTTCAGTTCAAGCCAATTAATAAACATTGTAATGAAGTTAGAATTAGGGAAGTGCTTGGCTTCAATCACTTTCGGGTTTCATAATAGCATTACCCATGTTGGTGCAGTAAATTAGGGAGATTCGCAAACGATGATCAATAGTCAGGTAACGTATGAACCTCTGTCGTTTACCGTGTAAAAGCGTAGCAGAGAGTTGGCTTGCGCTCGCTAATATCCTTCAGTCCCCAAGTTCCAGACGTTCAAGCTGCGTCCTATTTTTTTCAAAACCGATTTATTTAGTTTGACATTGCCCATCAATGATCAGGCGCAGAGTTTGAGCGAAGTGAACGCTTAACACTGTAAGCTGACAGCGTTTTGGACAGTTAAGCCATCTGTTGGGTTGGCAAGCTTAGCGCCCGAGTTAAAGATCAATATTTGAGCTTGGTGTAATCGTGAATACTATAGTGCAACCGTCTTCCCCTCCGAGTTCCAACGATGTAAAAATAATATTATTCGTGAAAAGCAGGATCTTAGTTGTAATTTTGTTAAATTTTATCCCAGTAATTCACAGGCTAGATAGGACAGTCTAGTCCGGAAAAGCACAGGACGCATGTTGCCCTATCGGGGCTTGTCAGTGGTGCGCATTCCCTCCGTCCCCTACTGGGGATCGAACGTATGACAGCTAGAGGCGGATATCAACCAGCCAGCGGCTTAAATCATTGAGCCATGGGGGACGTTACCTGGGCTACATAATTTGCAATCTAACTGCGATATAGCACCACCTATCTTTCGCTGTCACTGACAATGGTTAGCCTGCAAGGTGATGGCGTCCTCTCACTAGACGCTATTACTATAGCATTTGAAACTGGGAGAGGCTTTTATGTTATAGTACTCATGAGTAGCCGGATTTTATTCGTAAATCTGATAAAGCTTTCATCCCAATAGTTCACAAGTTACATAGCAGAGCCTAGTCCGGAAAAGCGCCAGACACGTTTCGCGCTATTGGGGCTCGTCAGTGGCGCGCATTCCCTCGGTCCTCTAAGGATGATCGAACCCATGACTGCTAGAGGCAGATGCCAACTAGCCAGCAGCTTAAGCCACTGAGCAATGGGGGACGTTGGCTGGGCTACATAATTTGCAAACTAACTGGGACATAGCACCACCTATCTTCCACTGGCTAGCCTGCGAGGTGATGATGTAGCTGGGGAACTACTGGGATGAAAACCTCAACAAGTTCTTCAAATAACATTTACAGCGTGATACTATCGGAGCAGCTGAAGTCACCCCAGCCACTGTGACAAGATATATTTCTAGCTTGTTAAAACGCAAACTTCTGTATTTTGGCGGTCCCCAATAAATATCAGCTTGATCAATCTTCATGTATTCAAAGGCATGCAACTAAGGACATGTATTTCAAAATGATAAAATCTTAAATGGAACAATGGTTTATACAGGTAAAACGATTAATGCGTAACAGGATGTTTATGGTGAAAATACAAAATATAAATAAGTTGTTGGTAAAATTGGCTTTACACCAGTGAACTCATTGAAGTATACATAGTATAGACTGTAAATCCAAGGTAAATCCATAAGATTTGACTGTAAATGGGATGTTGGTAAAATATATTGTCTCCTGGTATACACATAGAAGAGGTGAAAAAGGTGGAACGAAATCTCTGATTTGTCTGCCAGTGACATCGCTTACAGACAACGGAACAATGGTGTTTTACGGGTAAAAAAGCATTGCTTAACAAGTCCCGTGGAATGGAAATTATTGCGAAAATCAATTGCATGATAAAGTGAAAAGCGTTGTGGTGGACTTACCATAGACTTATGTGGAATAGCGGTGATGTTCGCGTATTAAACGGATAAATCCATACATCCTTTGGTTAGGCGTTTGGCAAGACGCCGCTTGATTGCTTTTCGCAGCCCCTGGCTAACAAATCATAAAATGAAATGTAAGTGAGACATTACATCGTCAATACGTTTTTTTAATATCGCCAGATTGGGAGCCGAGACGAAATAATGAGGGAGGGCGTTCCAAGGCTGGCACACGCGGAAGGAAAAGAAATTTCTACGGCATTCAAGCCGACCATACTGTATTGTCAGTTTTAGAAAATGACCTCTTAGGTTAGTATTGTGGTACGATCCCAACAGCGGCGACAAATGTGGTTTTGATTCTTCAGAATCTTATAGACCGTTATGAGATCCCCCCGCAAAATCCGATATCGACTACTGTAGATTCTTAGAGATTTCAGTCTAAGCTGATAGGGGAAATGAAAGAGGCCGCTGACGTTCTTGGTTGTCCTTCGTTGAGGAGTCTCGAGAGCAACAAGATCCTGTTTCTGTCACGGCTGCCACGCCTGAATAGCATATTGCACTTGTGGTCGCACGTAGGTGTTAAGCATTTCGGGAAAGATTGAGGGTTCAAACTGACCGAAAGCTCTGCGATGGTGCACCGAAATAAGTGCACAGTCAACTCGGACTTTGAACCCTGCCAGCGTGGGAGCACATATGACAGATTTCGGTAAGGCATTTCACGTACCGCTACCGCGTACGGAAAAGAAATTCCGATGGCATTCTAAGCGACTGTGCTATTCTGCCAATTTGAGATGGTGGCGTCTCAGATTGCTGTTGTGACTGAGCTCCAGTAAGTAGCGACACTTGTGGTTGTGGTCGCTCAGGATTTTGGTAAACGCAGTGTTGTCATACTAATTTGTACTTTGCCTTCACCGTTGGGTAAATGTGTTTTTTGTTCTTCCCCTTAAAGCGACGTTCTGCACGCACAATTGTGCTGTCTACTGTGGCTGCTGAGACGAATGACCACCACTGAGGAAGAAGAGAAGTTCACCGTTCCACGTCCCATCTCCATGTGCTGGAATTATAGGTATGTCAGCGCTTACC